TGAAATGTAACGGGCGAGGCAGCCTAGAAATGCAAATAGCCCGCATGGTGTGAAGGCCCAGGCTACGTGATAGCCACGTCCACTGTTGCACATCGTGCACTTGAGCTTCCTCCAAGCTGCCGCCGCCCAGTTCGGATACGCCGTGAACTACCATAGTGGTCTGCTCTTGAATGCCTGGTGATATCCTGGCTTTCTCTCTCACTGACCAGGGTTTATCGTGCCTGATGCGAATTGGGGATGACAATTTAACCGATGATCTATGGGACGGGAGGATGATGTCTTTAGCAAGTTGTACCGAGTCTAGAGTTACCCTCATTTGAGGGGGTTTCTCTTTCGAGACATTCCGGCCCTTGAAAAAGCCGCACACTTTGCCGGGATATTGCAAATTTCGAGGATTATTTAGTACTTATCCCACTGTTCCTTATCAAATGTGGCACTACTTTCTAGTAAGCTACTTTCTGACACTGGAACATTAAATGAGTGAATCGAGTCGATTGTTCCTGTCCCTGAGTGGTAGCCGTTTGTGAGTTGAGGCGTTTCCATTCTTCTTTCTCTTCTTTACATTCACGCGCTGTTTCGTATTCGGGGGTTAAACACGACCGAGAGTATTTTCAGTGTATTGGTTTGTGTTCTGGCTGCCTTTGTCGCCTGTTTCACTGGTTTAGTTCCATGAGATTTGGGTTTGTCAGTTTGGGCTTTTGAGATAATTTTGTGTGCGGCCTGTGGCTGCGCTAATGCTTTGGTTACTCTGTAAAGAAATCAATTGGTTTATACTAGCTCGTGAGAAAGATATTGGATATTTTAAATTTAAATCGTTATATCGAAAAGAAATTAAAGGAGTGATAACTGCCAGGATTAATTTATGGAATAGTTCGGCATAAGTGTTTGTCGTATGATTGTCAATAATCAGATCATCTAATGAGCATACGACTGGTTAATTAACTACGGTTGTTTGGTTTCATATTCCAAACCTGGTTTGCTACCCACAATCATCCGAACACTCATCCACTTTTTGGTTTGATTGTCGATAGCCTTCATTTCCCATTTTACGAAGCGATGTGTTCAAATATGCCTGGATATGAAGTACATATACTTGAAAAATATTAATTGTACACTGCAGCTTGTTATTGTGTTCTGGACTGACTTGTCGGCGTAGTGGGAGACGCTATCGAATAATGGACAATTAGGAACTTAACATTGGCTCAAGACTAATATTTCTTATTGACATGGAGACACAGTTATGAAATTCGGTATGCTGATTGATGTGGGTACAATTTAGTGGTCATTAAGTATTATGACTAACTATTTAAGCGCTTGTGCTTCACGTCCAAACTTTGACTGGATCCCATATGGGTAGGCTATGAGTCCTAAATGAGGAAGATTGATGTTTGGCTGGCGGACCCACAACATGAAATACTAACTTGCTAAAAAGATGCTCACCAGAAAACGTTCCCTGATCTTCTGCCAGAAGGCTTATGAAGTCTCATGATGATATCCGAGTTCCTTCGGAAATCACGAGGTCGATGCCGTTTCCGATAACCAGAACAACTATTAATTTAAGTGTATGGAATGTTCGTACGATATAGGAGACAGGGAGAGTCATCCAAGTTCTGAAAAAATGAAAAGATACAACCTGGAGCTGCTTGAAATCACTGAAACACATTGGACTCAGTTTGGACAACAAAGACTAGATTCAGGATAGCTGCTGACTTCAACAAACTGGTCATCGCCGGCACCATATTCCCATATTAACCCATACACAAAGCCACATGAACTTCACTGGATCACACCACATAGAACCAAATCAGTAACATCTGCATCAATAGAAAGTTCAGAAGGACGTGAGAACCGAAAGAGGGACTGATATAACCTCAGATCATCATTCGCTGGTCACCAAGATGAAACTGAAACTCAAGAAGCACTGGAAAACGGGACGGACAACATCACAAAGGTTAATATAGCCTTTTTGGGATACTGGAAAACTCAATGAATTCACGATAGCCCTCTGCAATAGAGTCCATGTCTTTCACGATGGAGGGGAAACAACAATGGAGAACAACTGGAAACGGATACAGAAAGCAATCACTTTCGCAAGTAATGAGGTTCTGGGCCACAAGAAGCACCATCACAACGATTGGATCACAGTTGGGTAAAATGTGCCTTAAACTAGCTATTAAAGATGAATATCTTGATATTACAGCCTGGGTGAGTGGCAGCCTAATACAATGTGGATAGATTGCAAGCTTCCACGTGACAGATGACTCAAACCTCTTCAACATACTTTATGTACGTAAATATACTACTCACCATACACGAAATAGTTATAGATGTTAGATCTACCTTAACTGTATCAAAGAATACGAAATAGTGGCATCATTATGAACTACATAGCACTAAAAATTATTTTGGAAGCAGTTTATGGTCCGTTTTTCTTCATACCAGATAAAGACAATTCAGAGAATGTGATAGATCAGTTAGGAAGCCAGAATTAGACCGAAATATATTGTAAAACAAGTATCCGTATGAAATAAATTAATTTTAATACCTCACACTAATACAAAAGGAAAACGAGCCGTATCTTCGCTACTCTAGTGTGAATTACGCGCGCGTGGGAGAGAACCTTCCACATGTCCCATGGCCACGGTAATGGCGGAGGCTGACAGTAAATGATCACTAGCAAACAGTGAGAGACATCATTCGGAATGATGTAGTGGAAGATGTACCTCAGTCACACCATACACTTGGAAATAAAAGAACATGGGTTATGCGGGGCACTGAAAGCTTGCTACAGGAGAAGAGGAGAGCCTGGCTCAAGTGGAGGGTCTCCTTGAAGGATTCCGATCGTAGTTCTTACTTGGCATGCAATGCTACAGTTCGAAGTGGTAGGAGACGCTGTCAAATGAAGCTAGCTGTTCAAATACAGAAAACACTAAACATCTTTTTAGGTTCATGACTAAAAGAAGACTTATGAATCAATGTTTCTGTTTTCTCAAACGTCCGAATGGGGAAGACCTCATCAACCTAGAGATGGCTGAGGTCTTCAACACAAACTTCAACGATCATTGAAACCAGAAATCCGCGTATTCAGAGTGCTAAGCAAACTAAGTGCTTAGGGAATATCTGTATTACTATAAATGGATTTCTACCGTAGCGGTTCAAATGGTTTCCAATAAGTGCAATCCGAACGCGTATTTCCCAATTCAAAGTCCAAAAAATACAACAATTCTAGGAGAAAACGGTCTATATTAATTAAAAGATGGAAATACAAAGCAATACCTGGAATTGATGCACCTTCCAGGTTACAATTACTCCGAAGAGTATCCAAAACAAAGATGAATAAGTGACGTTAAGTCCAACCGCCACTGTATCAATCCAACTATGGCTGTAGCCATATTAAAGATCAAATTTAAACAACATATATACAGTTCAGAAGCAAACACAAAAACTTCAATATAAGTACAAAATATAGAAATAATAACAATATACAATGATAAATTCTCAAATTGGAATCAAATAAAATACCAAAAATGTCAACAGAAAGAGTCCGTCATGTCATAACAAAAATATGTAAACATGGAGGGATTTTCCAACAAACAAAACATTCAAAAAGGATTCTACAATTACTCCTAACTTATTACTCAGTAAACCAAAACCCTTTCACCCAGGAAAGTCATCAAAATGTGACAGTACTCACACCATAGTCTTGAAACAACATGCAGAAGCCTTCAGTTCACCAAAATGTGACCTGTTCAGGCATTCAATGGAGTCACACCGACCCCCATTTGAATGAAAACAAGCTGCTCTCTCCAACCTTCAAAGGGGGAGATAAGAAAGACCCAGCCTATTAAATACCAGCCGCACGCCCAATGGAAGGGAAGCCTCCACACCAGCTCAAACTACATAGGAGACGCAGCCAAGGCAAATGCAACTCTTCACTTTATAGGGAATCAATTCGTTGCTATCATCCCTTAATCATTCCTAACGCTGTTTAATACACATGCCACATACCTTGAAGTCCGAAACGTTGTCGCACCCCGTTTTTCAAAAACGGAGACATAAATCTCTTGCACCTAGTGCAGAGACGAGCAACGAAATGGATTCTTACACTTCAGTCCTCTCGCACAACCTTCACTACCAATTAATAAACTAAATTATCCATTGTTTACTTAGTCCTGAAATGTTATTTATATTAGCATTATAATTTCCTCATTATTCTCCATACTGTAACTAACTGATCTCCGGTATGGTAATGTCATAGCTGCTGGTATCCAGAAACCCTACTGTACTGAGACAAATGTGTTCATTCAAATCATTGGACATACAAACTCACAACCAACTGCCAACTCACTAGAAACAGACAGTCGAGTGGCTAGGCCCCCATTCTTTGGACATACCAAACACCTGGAACCGTACTGAAAGAACAATAATCAAGCGCACAGAAATAAATTGGCTTATACTAGCTCATGAAAAAGATATTGAATATTGAATAAGCCTCTACACCACGTTTTCAAGACATAAGTCTGATTCCTGAACCTTTCTTGAATCCCTTCTACACACCTTCTAGGAGTCACGATAGTAGTCAGTAGACTGACTGATCAAAGAGCCGTCTGTCAAAACCTCCAGGATAGACCCGGAAGCCGCCCTTCGACATTTTATCGATAGAGATTGTTGATTGTTATGTTGGGTCGGCGAGTTTGCTTCATTGAGCGCGTTATCTCAAATGACCGAGATTTCAAATCGTAAAGATGTCGTTAGCTTTTATAATGCGGCTGCACGCAATGATGAAAACAACTCCCATGTTAAGAGAAGAGAAACTCGCATTTTCTATCTGCGGAACTTTAACAACTGGATGAAAAGCGTGTTCATCAGTAAGAGTCTTCAAAGCTTAGATGTTCCCTCCAATCGTGCTCGAATATTAGATCTATGCTGTGGTAAGGGAGGAGACCAGCTGAAATGGCTACGCGGTGAGGTCCAACATGTAACTTTTGTGGATTTATCCAATGAATCCATTGAGGTTTGTCGTCATCGGTATGAACAACTGTGTAGAAATAAACGGTCTGTTTTCACTGCAGACTTTTTCGTAGCGGATTGCTCGGAAGCTGTACTTCCACAAGTGCTTCCATCTGGTGTCCTGTATAATTTAATCAGTTGTCAATTCGCACTTCACTATGCTTTCGAGAGCATAACTCAGGTAATGTATTAATTTAAGAGAGAATCGTGACCCGTGCATTATACTTATTTTTTGCCTAAAGTTATCAGATGTGTTGTCATAACTGAGTAATTTTATGTCTGTGAGGTCACTTACTAGAGATAGATAATATTCTATACAGTTTCTAACATGATATCCCCGATTCTTTATTGAGGTATGTGACAACTTATCAAGTTGTTGTATAGGCTCACATCAATTCGATCAAGGGATCGTTTGAAAGAGCTTTGATTACCTTTATTTTAATGAGTAGAGACTCAGCGACTAAGGGTGATCATGGTAAGGTTTGATTTCGGGTCCTCGAGCTCGTCCCCCGACTCGTCTTTGGAGACGCTCCAGAATGTTCTTTTCCTAATCGAACAGAGTGAACGCAGCTTCAAATGAAACCTGAAGAATAAATAGAAAGTTCTTTCATCAAAATACGGTTCAAGGTTTACTTTGAGTAAACCTTTGTCACAGTATGCCTAAATATTTGTGTCATAGAATTCCAAGTTATAAATCCTTCTCAACTACTGGTCCTTTTAAAAGAAGTCACCAAAGTTGGTATGCATAGATTACGCAAATCTGCAAATGACCTACTATGCACTTCGAGAATTTGAAAGTCAGTCCACTGTTGTTCGTATTAGCTTTGCAGTTCATTCAGATCCCCTGAAGTGTCGGCTTCTCACCCTTGATGCAAAATCCAAATCTTAATATCAGCAAGAAGCAATATGTCAAAAGATGTTTCTTGAGGATGGCTAATTATACAAATAAAAATGATTCTTATACTGACTGTAGGTGATATATACTGGCATTTACCGTAACTTGAGAAAAGGTGAGATTCATCCCAACCGTATAAAGTCAGTTATTGTGATGTGACTTAAGACGGCTCACCGATAGGGACTTATTTGTTGGAGCTTATTGATAAGAACATATCGTCCTTATCAAAAGCACTAGAGAAATTGAGGTTGAGTAAGGGCGCATGGCGAGCTTTCATCGGAATTCGTTCATTCGAAAGGTGTTTGTCAAGGCTGTCGACTCTATCCATTATAGTTCAACTTTGTATTGGACATGCTTTTAGAGACAATTCTATGACCATCTGACTACAGGCGTTGAGCTTCTGCTGGGAGATTCACTTGTTTACTTATGGTACTCAGATTACATAATCCTGTTTCGTGGAGAAGACAAAAAGCCATCTTCTGACCACCTTGCGAAACAGCGCAAGCATACTCTATATTTGAAATATTGCTTCAACATTGGCTTGATTCGGCCCCTGAACTAGTTGAGCGTTTTGACTGTTCTCTCAAATTCTAACATACGGAATTCATCATCACTGTCTTTCTGATTCTAAATTTATCTCACGAATTATACATCTCGAATCATATCTTTGAACCCTCATCTTCTCAATTACTGCTAATACTTCTACTGTCGCTGCCACTATCGGACTTGAAGTGACATTTGCGTCTCTGTGCTAATGCGATATGGCAACCAGGACTTATGTGAGTACGTACGAAGTTCTATGTTGTAACTGACTGACTGTTGGGAAAGGCCAATCGAGCCTTCTGTATCCGTGCTGAGATTTCGTCAGCCAGGGCAATGATGAGACTCCCAAGATAAGTGAAGCGGTATGTACGCTCAACTGCTTCACTCCCTATCACTAGTCCAGCTACCGATAAAATCTAATCTTGAAGCTACATTTCGCGTTTCGAGGGAGAAAACCGCATCGCGAAAATGCATCGTTTCTTGGGGTCGTTAGAAGACTGCATTTTGTCAGTCTTCATCGAATAAGACTATGTCATCAGCATACTCAAAGTCCGCAAGCCTGTCTCCTGGTTAAAGATCCATTCCTGAAAAGTTAGACGATGATAATGTTAAGTGTAGAAGCATATCTACGACAAAGTTAAACAAAATTAGAGTGTGAACAGCCCCGATAAACACCAATTGAAGTAAAGAATTTCGATGACAGTTCGCCATTAGCTCTCACTCGACCGGTGTTCCAGAAAAGAGCCTTTTTTAGGTTGACGTACTTGACTGGTGCATATTTTAGTGACAGTCACTGTCATAGAATCTCACAATCAACACAGTTGAATCCCGCTTTAAGGTCCAGTGGAACAATGTGTCTGTGTCCCATGACATGTCGTGGTGTGAAGATGTGGTCTATACAGCCACGTCCATGTCTGAGAACCAGATTGGTTTTCTCGAGTCTGCTCTTTACGAGCTCTAGTCAAGCGTCTAAGGATAATCAAGACACTACATGAGTTAAACTGACTCCTGTGCGATTGTCACAAGAGTACTTTTGTCCTTTCTTATGAATTGAGACAATCAGCGATTGAGACCAGTCGGATGGAATTGTGTCCAGTTCCCAGATTTTACCTAAGATCTGAGTCAATGTAACCGCTAAAACTGGACCACCATCCTTAAAAGTCTCAGGAGTAAGCCTGTCAAGACCTGCTATTCTCCCTCGCTTCAGATTTCCTATAGCTTTTTCAACTTCATCAATCATTGGAGGGCTTACGTCGATTTGGTACTCAGATTGACTGGAAGTCGTGGGCAAACGAAGTGTGGCTTAAGGCCTGTTGAACTGATCCCTTAAGTGTTCTGACCATCGATCCAACCCACTGGTTTGAGTGAATAATGAGACCATAATTTTTCCGAGCTAATTCCACTCACATTCGGGTTCCTAATACCGGTTTCCTTGATGAGTCTAAACAGCTGTAAACTCTTGCTTTTTCCATCTCTCTCGCTTTCACTACCCACCACTGTTTACGATCATAGCGTAGACTTTTTATGAGCCTGCGCTGATTCCGCTACTCATCGTACTCAGAGCCAGGCGGAATGAGCTTTCGAGCATCCATCAGTTCGGTAGATGCAACTGAGATCCACGGCTTCTCCCTAACCTTATCGTTTACCTTACTAGCAGATATCACTGCTGTTTCCACAGCCTTCTTGATATCATTCCAAGCTGCCTCCGGATGGAAATCACTTGCATGGTCGCCTAACTGTTTTTTTAGTTGTTCCTGAAATATATTCTCAGCTTTATTATCATTAGGTAAAACCCTAAGAGGCTTTCTTTACGGTGTCTTTCCTACGTCCAGTAAGCCTCTAACAAATACAGGATCGCACTAGGGCACGATGTGAATCTAGACATGTACCCAGAACAAGCGAACAGTCCTCTATCGAACCATTACTTTAGGTGTATGGAATGTTCATACGATATAGCAGACCGGGAGAGTCTCCAAGTATCTGCAGGAATGAAAAGATACAACCCCTCCATCTGTGGCTGATGGCAATGTGATCTAGTTGGGTCCAACGTTGAGACGATTTCGGGGGTCGCCAGGTCAACAAATGCTTTTCCTTATGCCTAAAGTTAGTGTTTGCTAGGAATAGGCGGTTATCTAAACATACTTGCAACAGATGGTCGTTGCGACACCATAAGATCCACCCAGGTGTCTCTCCTGCTCACTTGGTCTACGTACTTGAGCATTAAAGTCACCAGCCATTATTACTACATCAGAGCGCCTAACTTTTTGGAGGACGTCCGAAAGCTTTCTATAAAATTCATCTTTCACCCCGTCTGAACTGCAGTCAGTGAGGGCGAATCAGATACGACGAAGAGGCAATGACGGGTGTCGCTATCATTCTGAGTCCTTACTGTCCCGTTCAGTCGCACAGCGCACAAGCGACTATCTACTGGGATCTAGTCTGGGAGCGCTTGTTCTGCCCTACGACTCAATGCTATACATACACCAGCGAGACCTCGGGAAGCAGCATCAGGGCTACCGGATACATGAAGAGTAAATGGGGCTGCTTCTTTATTTTGATAAGGGAAAATCGGATTAGTGATTTTACTAGGATCCTGTATGCGCGTTTCCGAGATACTGCATACATCGATTGAGCGAGATTCTAATGTTCTAGCTAGGGAAGCTTGTTGCCTATTTGACGCAATGTCCGTACATTAAAAGTTCCAACATGTAGTCTAGGACGGGGTTTCAGGAGACCAGGAATGACATTTCGGGAACTCGCATCATTTGCATTAGCTGTGCAGTTTGATAAAGGAATGAGAGAAGAGAGATATTAGGGGGTGTAGGAAGGATTTGATTATGACCGATTTGGTATCGCGTGCTGTTACGGGTATGAGGGTGGTTGTCATTTGCCGACTGCCCACACCGTGGAAGGGTGTTTCTTGAGGAACCTGAAAAGGAAGGTCGATTAGCGTTGGCCTTAACGACCTAGGAGCGTGACCACAGAGCCTAAGGGACAACTGTCTGACGCCGGTCACGCACGGCCTTTTCATGATAGGGTTTTTTGATGATTAGCTCCGCGCTTGAAAGCCCTTAGTGAGCACCCTTACCACCGGAGACGGAAATCCGTGAGGTAGGGTGAGGTGTGACATTTCTAAGGCCGACCTTTTCTAACCCTTCTTTCCTTGTGAGATAGCATTGATACAGATGCTGGTTGTCCGAAGGGAAACACCTTACTGCTGTCACACCCCTCTGAAGTCAGCAGAACGACTTCGTCCTCTGACCTTGAGTGGCTGCTTTCAGTCCCACCGTTGTCCAATCGACCTGCCTGGCATGGTAGAACCTTCAGGAACATATGTTCCAGCCGATATTGCTCGGTTGAGTCATTACGATAGTGCAGCCTGACTGATGTCATGCAGCTCCAGGTTGTATCTTTTCATTCCTGCAGATACTTGGAGACTCTCCCGGTCTGCTATATCGTATGAACATTCCATACACCTAAAGTAATGGTTCGATAGAGGACTGTTCGCTTGTTCTGGGTACATGTCTAGATTCACATCGTGCCCTAGTGCGATCCTGTATTTGTTAGAGGCTTACTGGACGTAGGAAAGACACCGTAAAGAAAGCCTCTTAGGGTTTTACCTAATGATAATAAAGCTGAGAATATATTTCAGGAACAACTAAAAAAACAGTTAGGCGACCATGCAAGTGATTTCCATCCGGAGGCAGCTTGGAATGATATCAAGAAGGCTGTGGAAACAGCAGTGATATCTGCTAGTAAGGTAAACGATAAGGTTAGGGAGAAGCCGTGGATCTCAGTTGCATCTACCGAACTGATGGATGCTCGAAAGCTCATTCCGCCTGGCTCTGAGTACGATGAGTAGCGGAATCAGCGCAGGCTCATAAAAAGTCTACGCTATGATCGTAAACAGTGGTGGGTAGTGAAAGCGAGAGAGATGGAAAAAGCAAGAGTTTACAGCTGTTTAGACTCATCAAGGAAACCGGTATTAGGAACCCGAATGTGAGTGGAATTAGCTCGGAAAAATTATGGTCTCATTATTCACTCAAACCAGTGGGTTGGATCGATGGTCAGAACACTTAAGGGATCAGTTCAACAGGCCTTAAGCCACACTTCGTTTGCCCACGACTTCCAGTCAATCTGAGTACCAAATCGACGTAAGCCCTCCAATGATTGATGAAGTTGAAAAAGCTATAGGAAATCTGAAGCGAGGGAGAATAGCAGGTCTTGACAGGCTTACTCCTGAGACTTTTAAGGATGGTGGTCCAGTTTTAGCGGTTACATTGACTCAGATCTTAGGTAAAATCTGGGAACTGGACACAATTCCATCCGACTGGTCTCAATCGCTGATTGTCTCAATTCATAAGAAAGGACAAAAGTACTCTTGTGACAATCGCACAGGAGTCAGTTTAACTCATGTAGTGTCTTGATTATCCTTAGACGCTTGACTAGAGCTCGTGAAGAGCAGACTCGAGAAAACCAATCTGGTTCTCAGACATGGACGTGGCTGTATAGACCACATCTTCACACTGCGACAGGTCATGGAACACACGCACATTTAGACGTCTGATAATAGTTGTGTTCCTGGACCTGAAAGCGGCATTTTACTCGGTGGTTCGTAAGGTTCTGTGGCAGTGTCTGTCATTGAAAGGTGTAGCAAAGAAGTACATGAAGCTTGTACAAGCTCTCTACTAGAACACCACTGGTCGGGTGAGAGCTTATGGCGAACTGTCATCGGAATTCTTTACTGTTAGTGGTGTTCGTCTAATCGTGTTTAACTTTGTCGTAGATATGCTTCAGAGTTTACATTACCATCATTGAGTTTTCCAGTATTGCAAAGAAGGCCATATTAACCTTTGTGATGTTGTTCTTCCCATTTTCCAGTGCTATTTGAGTTTCAGTTTCTCTAACCAAGGACTTAAGTGATCCATCTGATGCGGAAACGACTATTGTCGACGCCTAAATGTCTCGCCCTTCTCCGGTCGACTTGCCTGGTATGGTAGAACCTACAGGAACAAATATTCTAGCCAATATAGGTCTATTGGGTCATCACGATAGGCAAGCCAGACCTCTACGTTTAGATAGCTGCTTCGATTGGGACTGAATGAATGTAGCTAGTTTAGATTTATGATTGCATAACACACTCTCAGACATACTGTGTTAACATCCTTTAGAACGTATTGATTTGGTATGCAAAAGGCGATCATAATTCGCTTGGCAGGAACAGATTGCAGTACTTGGTTGAAGGTTTACTCTTGATTTAAAGGTTAATGATACTGTACGGGTGTCCGCAACTAAGTAGGTGGTGCAGTATAAGTTATTTGACCTAGTGACTGTCAACCAAATCCTTGAGACAGACAGACAGATACAGCGCAGAACTTCGTACGTAAGTACATCAGTTCAGGTTGCCATACAACATCAGCACAGAGACGCAACTGTCAGTTCAAATTCAAGAGTGATAGCGATTCTAGAAGTATTAGCAGTAATGGAGAAGATTAGGGAGCGAAGATATGATTCGATAAGTAATATTCAGTGAGATTAATTTGTAAGGAGAAAGACAGATTACGAGGAATTCAGAAGGTTAGAATTCGAGAGAACACAAATAGTGGATGCACCTAAGCCATGGCAAACGATTCTGAGCCTTGTCGTTGAAGGTCGCTAACCATCGGTGAATATTGTCTCGCGGACCCCAACCGCGTAGCCTACATCTACCAACATGACTCATTCCACTTGTCAGTGACCTAGAGGGCTTACGTCGATTCACCATTTAGGATGACTGGAGATCGTGGACAAACGAAGTGTGGCTTTAGTCCTGTTGAACTGATCCCTAAAGTGTTCTGCCCATCGATTCAGTCTCCTGAGTCGAGAATAAATAATGGTCCCATCCTTTTCCGAGATAGTCTCACTAACCGAAGGATTCCTTATACCAGTTTCCTTGATAAGTCGGAAAAGTTGTTTAGTGTTGCCTATCGCCGCTGCCTTTTCTATCGCCTTTGCTTTTGCCACCCATCACTGTTCACGGTAGTTGCGCAGGCTCGAACTAACGAAGCACAACGGTTCTTAGTTGTCAGTTTAGTTGCCGCTTATTGAGTACAACGCAAGGCTTCAAATTCACTGACACCTTGCGTGTCGTCACACATAGACGTCGCAACAGGAACTCTTGTTGGCACTGGTAAGAAGGGAATTTCAAGAATTTGTCTAAGGAGACTTAGTTTGGATTCGGTTGAGTTCGACGTAAATGTTCATTTCTTAGTAGTCTCGTGTTATCTAGAATCTACCGTGAAAGAAACAGCAACGTATTTCGAAGCGTCCGATGAACCTCAAAGTGGGATCCAGATATCAGAAACAAAAGACCGCTACGTAACTTCGGTTTTATCAGTCAAAAGAATAACGCAATAAACCGTGGTGTATTCATCGACGCACGGTGCAATGGTGTTTTGGGATAGTGTCGTAACTTGATTACTGTTGTTCGAAGCAAAGCTTTCCCACACCAATCTGTGCTACTGCAACCAGTACACATTATTACCTAGGTTTTACAGCTTGCTAAATTCACGTCGGATTAGGTGTGAACAGTAGGCCTTCAATACAAGTTTCATATGTCTAAGTAGCTGGCTATGTGTTGAGACGCTTAACTCTTGTTTTATTTTGATTGCTTTTACGGCCCCTATTTGCGACTTTCTGGTCTGTAGATTCTAACCCGCCAAACCAAAGCGCTACCGTAATTTCCCAATTTTGTTTCATGTTCCTGTTTTTACAGGCACGACGGATTTTGTCAAATGTCAGCTCTCTTTTAGAGGAAAACGGCTTTTTCATTGCAACGATTCCAAACGCTTATGAACTTGTGCGGAGAGCTACCGAAGTGTTAAACAAACGTGTACAGAAACCAGTTTCAGAATCTGAAATAGAAGAAATTAAATTCGGGAATCCTGTTTATTCAGTCACATTTCCAGCAGCTTCGTTCTCAATCAGGCGGACAAAAAGCCAAACGAAGGATGCAGTTGAACCGATATTTCCCCTCTTTGGGGCGAAATACAACTTTTTCTTGGATGGAGTTGTGGACTGCCCTGAATTCTTAGTATACCCTCCACTCTTGGATAGGTTGGCAGCTGATTACGGACTGACACCTGCACATAAACCCATATCTTTTGCTAAAAACTTTTATGCCACGTTATGCAATCGCTTAAGTCCCCAAGACCCAAAGGAGTTGCTCAAAAGAATGGAAGCTTTAGAACCATGGCATAGAAACTGTAACCATTCTAGCTCGCATAATGATGAATATGCCCATTTGATAGATTGTCAAAGTGGTTCGCATAACAACTCATACTCTTTTGGAACTCTTTGCAAGTCTGATTGGGAAGTTACTTCGATATACTCTTTAGTTGTTTATCAAAAAAAACTGAATAAAATCTGAGACTTTACAAACTCTTGTTTTGGATTATCTTTAGTGGATAGATGTCCATGAAACAACGTTGCTGCTCGGAACAAAAAACGTATGTCCAAATTAAATTTATTAAGAGATTTTAATCTTTTTGACAAAGGTGTCACGTTCTAGAACACAATCACATAACAAAATATCTACAAATTAAGTTAAGCAAGTAAAGTTGATAAGTCCTGATCCATTTTCTCGTGGGAAAGACAGGGAATACTTTTTCTTCTCAGTTGAATTACATCTGAGCTCACATATCTGGAGTGGTCACTGTCAGTGATAACGAGGTCATTATTTCTGCCGTTACCAGCCAAGTATTTAGGAGCGACTGGTTCGTAAACATATTTTGGAAATACTCGCTTGTAAAGAGGCATTAAGACTACATCGTTCGCTAAAATAGGTCGATTGAAAACGCATTTCATATGACCATGGGTTCCGACAGGTTCTTTTATATGCCCCACGGCTCCGCTTTTTGTTTGCAATTGTACAGACTAAAATGAAAGTCATAGAAAATCAAATAACAATCAGGTCATTTTGAAAACGAAACTTTAGTACTTTCGACGATCGGGAATTTGCATAATTATTTATCATCTGTATAGCTGAATGACAAATTCCAGACGTCGAGACAGAAGTGACATAGCTCGAAATGAATAATGAAAAATTTTCAGAAAAAGCTCGAATTTCTAATTACTGTTAGTATAGGTGCTGAGTAGGAAAGGATTTCTCAGCCCCTAACATACAAAATAAACTAAGTTTGCGGATAAATGTATGAGCTAGAAAGAGTAATTACCTGAAAATGAAGTACATCTGCTGGATTGTGAAACATATACCGGACAACTACGTGACGTCGATTAATCTTGTAAGGATGACCGGACAAAAAGATCCTCTTGATAATTAAATGGCTAGGATCAACTGACTTCAGTGACCCTGTTGCCACTAATTCACCGACATACGGTGAAGATATTTCTCCGTCTTCATTCTGTAAGACAAAGTAGCAGACCGTTAAAGCCTAGTCTAATGTCAATAATAAAACAAGAATGGGTATACGTAGAAGAGATTTTGTAAACCGTTGTGAGTAAAACGTTTGGTAAACGCAACTGAACTGCAACATGATCAAGTGCTACGTCTCACATCATACAACTAGCGGAAAACTGCCATTCAACCTTTTCTGAGTTCTGCTCTGGGAGGTCTTAATTACTTTTGATGAAGCCCTATCCCAAGTTTCTAAATTTCTCATAATCTAATCCCACTGATTTGTTTTCTAGAATCGTATTCTTGATGCCTAATCTTTTCTGTTACCACAGACAACTACTCAGGGATTTAGTCTGACAATTTCATCTATATGTGCTTATGGGGTATAGCAACTCCAACTGATGTAAGTACACTCAAAATTCAACACTGAAACTTACTGACTATTTCATCACTAAGCTTAACACCCAGGCTTTGTAAAGTGATGCACTTCTGCGGTATGCATGTGTAAAGAATCCTGATTATCTGATAAATCTACACTACCGGTGTGACGTAAACTCTAAGTCAGATACGATTTTATTATTCGATATTGACTGCATGATATACAACCCTCTTAGTTGTATTGCTATTTGAAATTAAGTCAACTTATTAACTCGTAATAAGAGTGCTAAAAATACACAAATATGAATTCAACGTGTTTTAGGTTTTGAACAATGTTTAAACCTGGTAAATAATAGACAGTTTTTGATTTTGGAGCTTGGTATGTGGGTACCTAAGTTGTTTTTTCTTGAATATTTTTTCAACAAAAAAACATGGATCTGGATGAAGTTGCTAATATCATGAAACTAAAAGTTTTAAGGAAAACGTGGGATACAAAGTCATAGAACACAAAAATGCGTTGGTAAATACCTCCGTTACTCTGATCCTAAACTGCAAAACATTAACAGGTGAATACATCACTGGTGCATAAACACTCGCTACAGCAGAACTTTCGGAAGCAGGGAAAAACGGCTCAAATTTGGATTTTTCTTGAGGATTACTTGCTGTAGAATAAATTGGAGCGGCCACAAAACGTCGAATACCAGCCTAAAAGATTGCAAATCGAATATGATCACCATAAGCTAAATTCAAAGTAGAAATACATCAGAACCGTCAGGGGTGCAGCATTGACCAACTTAGTCATATCACCGAAAGTTTAGCATGACTGATGACATACATTAAATTCAGCCTCGTCAGGTTTGCACTTATTAACATAGCTTGGTCTATTAACTATTTAATGGGTATTGCTAAATGTTGTTCTGGTTGCCCAGGTTTTTCTTCAACCCACTCTCATGATGCGTCGAACTTCTTAGAGAGGTGTTATATACTTCGGAAACAAAAGCAACCAATACCACTAAAGTTAATACTAGGAGGATCGTTTCAAAAATCGGACACTCTTTGTTGTGTTAGCTGTTAGTGCCCAAAGTATCTGGATGTGAAGCTGATTAATTACAAAAGAGATAACAAACGATTCAAAAAGATTGCGTATTCCACGAAATTCCTAATAAGTCAAAATGCTGAAAATAGCGATGGGGCAATCATACAAATGAAACTATCAAATAAATAAAAGTATTTACAGGTGCTGTGACTTAAAATACTGGTAATCTCATTCAATATTCAGAGATATTTTAGAAGTTATTATCGAGTTATAAAATATATTATATGGTAAACTGAGGAAATAATTGTAACTTGAAAGAACTTCACTACGCATAGTTTGTGCTGTAAGCGTTCATGAGTGGTGGATGACATATCAAATCCAATAACCTGCACAAGTTTTTACTAGGATGATTACCGCTACTAATCATATCAAATTTTAAGTAACGAAACTAACATTTTAGTTTTCGTAATTAGAGATAAATTGTTTATTGCAAGCAACAGAATTCTACCTGAATAAGCATCAGATCTTTCGATTTAATCGGTTCCGCCTCAAGAGGTATCGGCATTTTCGGGTCATACAGCGCTTTTTCATTATGTTTCCGATCGATTTTATTGCGATGGCTGATAAGTGCATCATGTATTGCTTTATCTTCTCGTTCTACTTGAGTTGAAGCCTCTTCACCAAACTCTAGTGCACAACTCCCATTTTCTTTTGATGATGATTCAGTGATTTTGTTTGCGGCGTTTGCTATAACCATCAAATCTGAAACAGCGTGGATTGCAGAAGCACGCCGAAACATTGTAAAGTGGCAGACTGACATTTGAGTCTCATGAGGTAAAAGTGACCAAACTAAAAGTGGATGAGGTTTCGGATCAGAAGGTTTTCTGGTTTCATCAGATTGAGGAAACGTGTGGTAAGATAATATTGATTCACCAAGATCCCGTGAAACAGGCTGTAACCGAAGCTCAACATCTACACCAGGTGGAATGTACTTGAGGACAGGCTCTGTTAGCTTATATGCTGATTGAACGTCTGCTAATTTTTGTTCAATATAACGGATCACAGTACGCCTATTACGATGATAGTTTTTGAAGCTTTCGGAGAGATAAGAAAATATAGTAGATAGGTCAGTGTTATGCTTTTTATCAATTTGAATAAAAAAATACAAAATTTTACCATAATAAATTTAGTACTTCAGTGAAATCAAGGTTTTTGAAACAAGACAGAATAAGTGGATGAAGATTATACGATTTTACGAGCATTAGGATCAAATAGCTTATGAGAATAACATATAGTGCAAATTACGTCGGAATTCTGATACATAAAAACAAAGAATAGGGAATCGAATAACAGAAAATGTTATTTAGTCAAATTTTGATAGTTGAGTGAGATGACTAGCTCTAAGGCTTTGGCAGCCATATTGACGCCGCTGTAGCAGACATTTCGAGCTCACGAAACGTGATTCCTGATCTCCTGAAGCCCCGATCTAAATTACATGCTGGAGCATTTTATGTCCGGGCTTTGTCAAATAGGGCAACAGGCTTCCCTGGCTAGGACCTTAGAATGTATGCTGCGTCTCGGAAACGTGCATACAGGAACCTAGTAAAATCCTGAATTGGATTTCAACTTGTCAAAATAATGAAGCATCACGACTTACTCTTGGTGTATTTGGACGCCCTGATACTGCTTCCCGAGGTCTCGCTTGTGTAGGTAAAGCATTAGGCAGTGGAACAAACCTTAAGCAGACGAGTTCTACACGAACCTTTCTAATCTTCTTCAAAAGGTAAGCACTCTGATATTGTATTAATCGCTGGTGATTGTAACGCTCAAGTAGATAGACTAAGTGTAAAGGAAAGACACCTCGGTAGATCCTGTGGTTTCAAGTCTCAAAGACCAGACAATGGCGACGACCTGCTGCATTTATGCTCAGATAATCGCCTATTCCTAGCAAACACTAACTTTACGCATAAGGAAGAACATCTCTTGACCTGGTGAGCTCCTAAGCCGACCCAACTAGACCACATTCCTATCAGTCATCGGTGGAAAGGCTCTGCTGAAGACTGTCGCCCATTCTAGAGCACCTGTTTAGATTCAAATCATGCTCTAGTACGAGCGCGTATTTGTTTGAGGCTTAGTGGACGTAGGAAAGGCACCGTAAGAAATCCTCTTAGGGTTCTATTCAATGATAGCTCAGCTAAGAATATATTTGAGGAACAATTAGAAAAACAGTTAGGCAACGATGCAAGTGGAGCCCATATTCATAGGCAGTTTTGAATGAAATCCAATAACCTGTGGAAATGGCAGTGATATCCGCTAGCAAGGTGAACTAGTAGCATCTACTGAACTGATGGATGCTCGAAAACTCATCCTGTCTGGCTCTGGAAGAGTCAGCTCAAGCGCAGGCTGATAAAAAGCCTACGCAATGATCGTGAACAGCGGTCGGTAGAGAAAGCGAAAGCGATGTAAAACTCAGCGGCGATAGGCAACAGTAGAAAACTTTTCACACTTGTCAAGGAAACCGGTATTAGGAATACGACTGTAAGTGAGACTATCTCAGAAAAGGATGCGACTATTATTCATGCACATGACACTCCAGGGAGACGCACGACTTCCAGTCAATTTGAGTACCAAATCGACGTAAGCCCTCCAATGATTGATGAAGTTGAAAAAGCTATAGGAAATCTGAAGCGAGGGAGAATAGCAGGTCTTGACAGGCTTACTCCTGAGACTTTTAAGGATGGTGGTCCAGTTTTAGCGGTTACATTGACTCAGATCTTAGGTAAAATCTGGGAACTGGACACAATTCCATCCGACTGGTCTCAATCGCTGATTGTCTCAATTCATAAGAAAGGACAAAAGTATTCTTGTGACAATCGCACAGGAGTCAGTTTAACTCATGTAGTGTATTGATTATCCTTAGACGCTTGACTAGAGCTCGTGAAGAGCAGACTCGAGAAAACCAATCTTGTTCTCAGACATGGACGTGGCTATATAGACCACATCTTCACACTACGACATGTCATGGAACACAGACACATTGTTTCACTGGACCTTAAAGCGGGATTTAACTGTGTTGATTGTGAGATTCTATGGCAGTGACTGTCATTAAAATAGACCACATATTCACACTACGACAGGTCCAATATCAAAGACACTTTCAGACGCCCCAAAATAGCAGTATTTATCGACCTTAAAGTGGCATTCGACTCTGTCGTTCGTGAGGTTCTGTGGCAGTGTCTGTCTTTGAAAGGTGTACCAAAGAAGTACGTTAACCTCAAAAAGGCTCTCTTCTTGAAAGCCGGTCGAGTGAGAGCTTATGGCGAACTGTCATCCGAATTCTCTACATCAATTGGTGTCCTTTAGTAATGCCTACTTTTTACATTCTTGTTTAACTTGATCATACATATGGTCCTACTATTAAGTTGTGAAACATGGCCACTAGGAAAAAGTGATATTTGTAGGTTACTAGTACTCCACCATGGTGTCTTCGAAGCATTGCTCGTACATCTTGGGAGCACCGAGTAAGCAACGCTGTTGTTAGGAAACAGGTACTAGGTAAGAATGGCATATCATTGATGAAGTAGTGAAATTTCATCGTTTCGGGTGGTTAGAACATGTGATACGTATGTCGAACCACCGACTGCAGCGATGAGCGATGCTTTGTGATGTAGGGGTGGGATGGAAGACAGCTACGGGCTATCAAACCAAAACATGGCAGAAATTCACGAAGTCACTGCCAAGTGGATTGAGTCATGTTGGTAGGTGTTGACTACCTGGTTGGGGTCCGCGAGATGATAATAGTCGATGGTTAGAGATATTGAACGACATGACTCGAAATTGTTTGCAATGGCGCATATGCATTCACTAGTTGTGTTCTTTCAAATTATAATCTTCTGAATGCCTCATGATCTCTATCTTTATCTTTCTAAAGTTATCTCACTGAATCCTACTTCCTAAATAATATCTTCGAATCCTAATGTTCTCCATGACCACTAATACGTCTACTATCTCTACCACTATGGGGTTTGATCTGACAGTTACGTCCCTGTGCTAATGCGGTATGGCAACCTGAACTGGAACACGTACGTACGAAGTTGTACGCTGTAACTGACTGAATCAAATATGTTTGACACGCTGTCTCCACTATCGGTTAATACGTGATAACATTGGAACTAATCTGAAACCAGTAGTCATAACTATGAAGCTACATTTCTGAATTGAAATTCAGTAAATATCCTCTGAAAAGCTAAATATTCTAGGATGTAAGAGAATTAAACGGACCACTCGCAACACATTTGGACCAATCACTAAAAAACATTTGTATAGAAACTGAAAGTTATGGAACTTAGAGAATATATTATACAAAGCGTTCCGTGTGTATCCAAAAGTAAAAACTTTTTCGTTAGTCGACAGTTAGTCTATGACACAACTGTGCACCCTGAATAAGGACCATTAGTTGTAGTTTTATTTAAAGGAATAGAAGAGTTACAACATTAAAGAAAACAAAATTTCGAACCCATCATCATAGTGATATGTTTCTTACTGAAAACTGTCTGGTTGCATTGTAATGAAAATTTTATAACAAATAGAAAACTGCAAATTTTTCGCACATACCAAGCGATATTTTGATAATATTTAGGCAACCAATTCTTCTCTGTTGGCCACACACTACCTTGGAAGCGAGGAAGACTACAGTACTTTAGGAACCGTTCACTTGCCCGTATGTTTAGAGGGGTTTCAACCTACAAATATATATAAAAGGGAAGTTTTTATAACTGTACTTATGTGGTATGTTAACTTGAACTGATGTATGTACGTACAAAGTTCTACGTTGTAACTGACTGACTACTTGTGTGCATATCACTCTTAAATATGTAGAAACGAGAATGGATATTTCGATTCAGTGATACGAAGGTCAAATCATTCTGAAGTGAAATAACTTTTTAACATATCAATTAATTAAAACCACAACCATTCATATTGTAATTCTAAATTGTCAAAACATTGGTTGGGCTAGCTTGACTTCAGTGTATTACGGCTACTTTCTTTGGTAAAGCATTAATCCAATAAGACGTTATCGGAGCTATTTGAGCACAAACTGTATCCCTAAATTACTTAAGAATGTGTCAGATTATGTCAATATCTCATATTTAGATCAAGGAAGTTATATCGCGTGTACTGACTTCCTACTAATCTCACTAACTTGCATGTTCTACCAATCACAAGAGTTTTCAGAAAACCATGTAACCTCCTAGTCTAACCAATTTACTATGTGGAATGGAAACTGCTCAATAAAGGAATTTGGGTTAACCTGCTAGAATTAACCAAGGATATCTAAACTTGACTGACTTTATCTATATATGAACGGTCAAAGTTTTTATACATTGATTACGACTACCTTTGAGTTGTAAGCAAATGAAGAGATATCATAAAATGAATTTGTAAGATCCCATTACATTTGTATTCTTTGCTGATGATGTTTACGAAGGAGAAGATAACATTCAATATAGCGTGAAGTATTTTATCGTTAGGTAAAATCCGAATAAAAATCCTTATTACGTTATTTTTTGTAAACTCTCGGGAACAAAGTAGCATTGGTTTTTAAACATGCCAAGTATTAACATTTGGTTGCATTTTCAACAATCGCGCTAAATATGTAGCCTAAACCCTGAGATAGAAACACGTAGCCTACCACTGAGAAGAGGTAGTAACAACAGGTTTAAACTGCTAACAGTCGAACATGATGTGCATAAACTATTTATTTTAAGTGTCAACAATATGTGATATCGAGCATGTTACTAAAAGCGACCGACCAGGAAAATTGATACGATTTTTCAGTTCCAGGACTAGATCAGTTTAGGAATAGGAAAACTGTGTACCTCATCTGGGAACATTTCTTCCATTCTGGCAGCCCGGAATTTGGCTAACTGAGCAGATGAAAACGCAGAAGTAGCGCTGGCTGCCATTGTATGGGCAGTGTGACTAGCTATCGATCCGCATTCTTCAGTAAAATCGTCAGATAACTCAGATTCTAAATGTTCAGAAGTCTGTTCCACTGCATCCCAATCGTTTTTATTTATTGACTGGTGTGAGTCAATCGACATTTTATCTGACAGGGAATCATCTTCACAATTTTCATTCTCTAAAATAAATGTTATTAATGAGAGGGTAAGGGATGTGATTGGCTTGAAGAAAAATGGAGCTACAATGTAATATTGGAAAATCTAATGACTAGGTAAAATGTGGTGTAAAACGGCATGTGTGGTATGTAACATATTATCAAATCTGGGGAACTAGAGACCTACAACTCAAGTGAAGTAAGTCTAACTTTTTTCTAGTAACGTCCAGTTTGGAAACACTAACAACTAGTAAGAATAAGTACGTATGTTAACAGAACAGAACACTCTAAAGAGGAAATACAGTTTTTCTGGACGAACACATAACTGAAGTACCTTTGTCACTTAAGAAGAAAGTAGTGAAAAGAAAAATATAAAGCTCATGCAAGTATTTTTGGACGAATTTGTCTAGTATGGATTTTATGTGTACCTATCAAACAAGTGGTTTATGGTATTTCTTCTACACAGCTTTTGAAACATTTATTATTGCTATTTTTACTGGTCGTAAACGATAAATAAAGGATAAATCAACTATAAACGTATGGATCAATTTTATTTTAGAAAATTCTTTCGTTATGTCCGTTTTGTTCTATAACACTTTAAATACATATTCACGTTGGTTGAGGGCCTAAAATACATCAATTACGTACCCAGCTAACTTTCTGGTGTTCTGGCTACAGTAGTATTAATACACTAGATTGGAGAAATTCGTTTTAAAGTTTAAAAATTAGTATCAGTGCTTGCTCATGAAATAACTTAACGTAAACAAACTACTTAATTCAGAAAAAAGAGCAGTTATTTAAACAAAACACGTTTAACAAACAACATACCTTAAAACTTACCATTTGGGAGATTGACTGACGAAGATTGAGGTAAGCGTTTTGTTAATAAATTTTTAAAAACGTTAAGATCTGATGTCTTCCACGTTTTTTGCGAGTTATCGTTATCGATCCATTTAGCCTCCATCAAAGGGAAATCACCCCAACCAGTCAAATGTACACGAGGACCAACAGGTACGGAACCATTTTGCTCTAACTCCTCGAACAAAAACAGTGGTGCTCCATGCAAGCGACCACGAAGACAAACTGTTACCTCGGATTTTGAGATATCATCATGCGCATCTATATTTTGTAGGAGTTAAGATGAATTCATACATATATATAATATAGTGCAAGATTAAGAATACAATTCATCTCCATTTATTTACTTAAAATACTGTTTATTCTATGAAGCTTTCGTACAAGCTGAGTAATCCGCTGGTCTACTTTAGAGTTTGGTGGAAAATAATTGTTATTATTAAGACAACTATAAGTGATGAATTGTTAATTATATCAGGTATTTGAATAATCTTATTCTTTCCAAAATATAATCTCAAAATACATTAAAAAATATGGTAGATCTTGAGGTTGAACGGCATCAAAGGTTGGAAACATCATAAACTATTAACAAACCAAATCGCTTACTGGGTAAATGTGACTAATCAGATAAGTTGGGAACATTGGGAATGACGGACGATGTCTTAGAGAGATTATGTCTGATTTTATAGCTTTCTAAAGGAATTGTAGTTAAAAAGCTCTTTAAAAATATAAGTTAGAAATACACAAATGACCAAACAAATTATACTGTACATGGTTTGTAGGACAAACACCTGACGAACTGCAAGTAGAAACTAATTTACTATTGAAAAAAGCTTACCATTCTCAGAGATTAGGTCAATAGAATCAACAAGTAAACGTGTTCGGTAGCGTGCTCCAGTATGTGCCACTGTAGATTGTCCAGCCAATTTTGTATTTTTCGCCTTAACATGAAAACTTGACGGATTGGTTGAGGCAATATGCCGTAGGAGGTTTAGAGCATTGCTGCTTGAATTTAGCTGATGAATCATCGATTCGGGGGTTGGAAACCTACACTTTTAATCAAAATAGACAACATATACTTTGGTATTATAAAATGACGTGAGGATTCAGGAACGCCAAACTGTTGAAGTCAAATTACTAGATGAAGCCAAAGATGGCTCTTTAATATGCAAAATTACCGGGTTCATTTTCACGTATACAATGTCCAAAACGTTAAACATATTATTCGCAGGAATTCAACATAGCTTGAATCCACGTACACAGTTTTCATCAAAAGTACTGTTTAGATTATTTCTCCTCCGCACAGAAACGGAATTGTGTAGTTTTCACAGAATATAGCTGTATAAACTTTAAAAAGAGCGGGTGATAGCCTATGTCATTACTTGAAAAAATCAGTCTAAAATCTTAACTGCAATCTGGTCATGGGTTCAGTTAGCGTAAGCAACAGTATAGTTTGCTATCTTGTATACGCACTTGTGCATTACTATAGTAATTGTAATTAATGTATAACAATGAAGACTACCTGTTTCTATTAAACAACAAAACTCTACATTCAGCACAAAATAGCATAAACTTCGTTTAAAATGGCAAATTTAAAACGTAATATTTTAAGAACAAACATTAGAGCAACCAAATTACCTCCAAAATCTTCTTTAACTCTTTGAAATTTGAACTAGATGAAAGAACCGCATAGGAAGCATTTGTAAAACCTTGGGCATATATAGCAACGAGTAGTTCATGGGCAGAATCAGGAATCTCCGAAGGATTACTTGGAACCAAAAGAATTAGCCAGTCTGCGAAATTTGCGAGGTCAAGACAACCAAATAGATCATCACTGTAAGCACAAATAAGGCTGAAGTATTTATTCAGAGTTTGAGAGTGAATGGTGACTACATTTTGTAAACAGTATTCCGGCTTTCTTATAACCTCGATATTTGGTTCACATGTTTGAAATAAAAGTTGGGCTAAGTGTGTAGGTACTGAGGACGATAAGGGGATCAGAACACATGCTATAGGATTTTCCTTAGTACCACGAGATGCCTCAAGCTTTTTTACCTATGGCAATAGAAAGTAAAACGTTATAACAAACCTCTAATCTTTTCTGTATGCGAAATTGTTTGGAAAGCAGCCGCCGCTGTTCTTTATTCAACACCTAAAATGGTAAACAAAAAATAAAAATAATCAAAGCATTTTACGTAAAGCTGAAGCTTTAAAGTTGTGAAATTCTTTATTAAATGTGTAATTCCGTATTTTAGTATCAGACAGATACAACGCAGAACTTCGTATGTGAGTACATCAGTTCAGGTTGCCATACAACATCAGCACAGAGACGCAACTGTCAGTTCAAATTCAAGAGTGATAGCGATTCTAGAAGTATTAGCAGTAATGGAGAAGATTAGGGAGCGAAGATATGATTCGATAAGTAATATTCAGTGAGATTAATTTGTAAGGAGAAAGACAGAGATTACGAGGAATTCAGAAGGTTAGAATTCGAGAGAACACAAATAGTGGATGCACCTAAGCCATGGCAAACGATTCTGGGCCTTGTCGTTGAAGGTCTCTAACCATCGGTGAATATCATCTCGCGGACCCCAACCACGTAGCCTACATCTACCAACATGACTCAGTCCACTTGTCAGTGACTCCATGGATTTCTGTCATGTTTTGGTCCGGCCGCCCCTAGCTTTCTTCCAACCTACTCCTACACTGCAAAATATGGCTCGTCGAGGCTGTTGGTGGTTAGGCATTCGTAACACATGTCCCAACCACCTCAACTGATGAAGTTTCACCACTTCATCTATTGATCCGCTATCCCTACCTAGAACTCGTTTCCTAACGACAGCATTGCTCACTCGTTTGTCCCACGATACACGAGCAATGCTTCGGAGACATCCATGATCGAAGATTAGTAACCTACGAATGTCCTCTACCCTTACCAACCATGTTTCACGTCTGTACAGTAGGACAGAGCGAAATGCCGCGCAGTACACTCGTCATTTGGTTAGCTAGTGGATAGCTCGCCTGCACTATAAGTGACGCAGGTTGGCAAAAGCCAATCGAGCCTCCTGTATCCATGCTGAGACTTCGTCAGTAAGCAGGCCATCAGATACGTGAAGCGGTCTACACGCTCCACTGTAGTGAATGAGAACACAGGTGGGGGCAACCGAATTGTATTTAACGAAAATTACAGAGTTACTCAGTAAAATCGGAAAACCATATCGTAAATCGTTCATTTGCAAAAGATCAGTTCATCCTATGGAACTGGACTGTTCCTGTTGCCAAACATCAATCCATTGTCACTATTCATGCGTTTCATACAAATTCCATTGTTTTCTAACTCTTCCTTTCTTGATCTTCCCACCATATTAGGCTACCAGACTTTACGTTGACACTCACGTTGTATACTACTTATAAGTAGTTCGCACCACAGCACCACACCACTACATCACTCTTAGCACTAGTTCAGGTTCGACTACCTGGTTGGGGTCCGCGAGATGATAATAATCGATGGTTAGATACCCTAAATGACATGGCTCAAAACCGTTTGCAATGGCGCAGGTGCACTTATTCTTTGTGTTCTCTCAAATCCTAATCTTCTGGGTTCTTCAACACCTCTAGTTTTTACTTTCTAAACTTATCTCATTGAATCATACTTCGTGAATAATATCTTCTAATTCTAACCTCTCCGATTACTTCTAATACCTTTACTACCTCTTCTACTATTGGATTTGAATTGACAATTATATCTCTGTGCTGATGTGGTATGGCAACATGAACTGATGTACTTACGTAAGAAGTTCTACGTTGCATCTGACTGACTAGTTCAGGTGCCGACGCAACCCAGTCTTGAAGCAATATTTTGCATTTCAAGGGGGAAAACCGCATCCCGAACATGCTTGCATTGTTGCTTAGGCTAGTCAGAAGACTGTATTTTGTCAGCGTCTTCACCGAATAGAACTACGTCATCGGCATATTCTAGGTCAGTAAGCGATTTTCCTGGTAGAAGGCCAAACCCTGGAAAATCTGACGAGGATATGTTTATATCTAGGAGCATATCTACGACAAAGTTAAACAAGATGACGTACTTGACTGGTGCATAATTTAATGAAAGTCACTGCCATAGAATCTCACAATCAACACAGTTAAATCCCGCTTTAAGGGCCAGTGAAACAATGTGTCTGTGTTCCATGACATGCCGTAGTGTGAAGATGTGGTCTATATAGCCACGTCCATGTCTGAGAACAAGATTGGTTTTCTCGAGTCTGCTCTTCACGAGCTCTAGTCAAGCGTCTAAGGATAATCAATACACTACATGAGTTAAACTGACTCCTGTGCGATTGTCACAAGAATACTTTTGTCCTTTCTTATGAATTGAGACAATCAGCGATTGAGACCAGTCGGATGGAATTGTGTCCAGTTCCCAGATTTTACCTAAGATCTGAGTCAATGTAACCGCTAAAACTGGACCACCATCCTTAAAAGTCTCAGGAGTAAGCCTGTCAAGACCTGCTATTCTCCCTCGCTTCAGATTTCCTATAGCTTTTTCAACTTCATCAATCATTGGAGGGCTTACGTCGATTTGGTACTCAAATTGACTGGAGGTCGTGAGTAACCGAGGTGTGGCTTAAGGCCAGTTGAACTGATCCCTAAAGTGTTCTGCCCATCGATCAAATCTCCTGGATTGTGAATAAATAACAGTCCCATCCTTTTCTGAGAGAGTTTCTGACTACCCTAAGCAACAATTCAAGCATGTTCGGAATGCGGTTTTCCCCCTCGAAATGCAAAATGTTGCTTCAAGATTGGGTTGCATCGGCACCTGAACTAGTGATAGGGAGTGAAGTGGTCGAACGTGTAGACCGCTTCACTTATCTTGGGAGTCTCATCAGTGCAGATGGCCTGGTGACTGACGAAATCTCGGCACGGATACAGAAGGCTCGATTGGCTTTTGCCAACTTGCGTCACTTATGACGTAGGCGAGATGTCCGTTTGCTGACTAAAGGACGAGTGTACTGCGCAGTAGTTCGCTCCGTCTTACTTTATGGCTGTGAAACATGGCCAATGAGAGTAGAAGATACTCGTCGGTTATTGGTTTTCGATCATAGGTGTCTTCGAAGCATTGCTCGTATATCGTGGGACACCCGAGTGAGCAACGCTGTTATTAGGAAACGGGTACTAGGTAAGAATGGCAGATCAATAGATGAAGTGGTGAAACTTCATCAGTTGAGGTGGTTGACATGTGTTGCGTATGCCCAACCACCGACTGCCTCGTCGAGCCTTGTTTTGCAGTGTAGGAATAGGTTGGAAGAAAGCTAGGGGCGGCCAAACCAAAACATGGCAGAAATCCATGAAGTCATTGACGAGTGGACTTAGCCATGTCGGTAATTGTCGACTACCTGGTTGGGGTCCGTGAGATGATAATAATCGATGGTTAGATACCCTAAATGACATGGCTCAAAACCGTTTGCAATGGCGCAGGTGCATTTATTCTTTGTGTTCTCTCAAATCCTAATCTTCTGGATTCTTCAACCCCTCTAGTTTTTACTTTCCAAACTTTCCTTTCTGAATCATACTTCGTGAATAATATCTTCTAATTCTAACCTCTCCGATTACTTCTAATACCTTTACTACCTCTTCTACTATTGGATTTGAATTGACAATTATATCTCTGTGCTGATGTGGTATGGCAACATGAACTGATGTACTTATGTACAAAGTTCTACGTTGCAACTGACTGACTGACTGACTTTCTGAGATAGTCTTACTTACGGAAGGATTCTTAATACCAGTTTTCTTGATAAGTCGGTACAACTGTCTGTTGTTGCCTGTCGCCGCTGCCTTTTCCATCGCTTTTGCTCTCGCCACCCACCACTGTTCACGGTCGTTACGTAGGCTATTTATCAGCCTGCACTTAAGCTGACTTCCTTCTTCATCATGTTCAGAGTCAGGTGGGATGAGTTTTCGAGCATCTATCAGTCCGGTGGATGCAACCGAGATCAACGGCTTCTCCCTAACCTTATCGTTTACCTTACTAGAAGATATCACTGCTGTTTCCATAGCCTTCTTAATATCACTCCAAGCTGCCTCCAGATGGAAATCACTTGCATGGTCGCCCAACTGTTTTTTTAGTTGCTCCTGAAATATATTCTCAGCTTTATTATCATTAGGTAAAAACCTAAGAGGCTTTCTTACGCCCTGTAAGCTTCACACAAATACGCGTTCGCACTAGGGCATGATCTGAATCTAAACATGTGCCCCAGAACGAGCGACAGTCCTCTATCGAACCCCTCCGTCTGTGGCTGATGGCAATGTGATCTAGTTGGGTCCAACGTTGAGACGATTTCGGGGGTCGCCAGGTCAACAGATGCTTTTCCTTATGCCTAAAGTTAGTGTTTGCTAGGAATAGGCGGCGACACCATAAGATCCACCCAGGTGTCTCTCCTGCTCACTTGGTCTACGTACTTGAGCATTAAAGTCACCAGCCATTATTACTACATCAGAGCGCCTAACTTTTTGGAGGACGTCCGAAAGCTTTCTATAAAATTCATCTTTCACCCCGTCTGAACTGCAGTCAGTGAGGGCATAGGCAGATACGACGAAGAGGCAATGACGGGTGTCGCTATCATTCTGAGTCCTTACTGTCCCGTTCAGTCGCACAGCGCACAAGCGACTATCTACTGGGATCTAGTCTGGGAGCGCTTGTTCTGCCCTACGACTCAATGCTATACATACACCAGCGAGACCTCGGGAAGCAGCATCAGGGCTACCGGATACATGAAGAGTAAATGGGGCTGCTTCTTTATTTTGATATGGGAAAATCGGATTAGTGATTTTACTAGGATCCTGTATGCGCGTTTCCGAGATACTGCATACATCGATTGAGCGAGATTCTAATGTTCTAGCTAGGGAAGCTTGTTGCCCTATTTGACGCAATGTCCGTACATTAAAAGTTCCCGACCGTAGCTGCTACCTTGACGTGGTGGTCAGGCTTGCCTATCGTGATGACCCAGCCGAGCTATACTGGCTGGAACATATGTTCCTCAAGGTTCTACCATGCCAGACAGGTCGATTGGAGAACGATGAGACTAAAAGCAGCTACCCAAGGTCTGAGGGCGAAGTCGTACTGCTGACTTCAGAGGGGTGTGACAGCAGTAA